GGGGGGGGGGGTCCCCATGCATCGCACCAGCTGCCCCGTGAGGAGGGCGATCTGGACCCAGACGGGGGAGACCCTGCAGGGAAGCGGCGCCTGCAGGATCCGGGGGGGCAACCTCAGGAGAAACCAGCCTGCTGACCTGGACCTTGGACCTCCAGCCCCAGGAGTGTGAGAACACACCCCCTCCCAGGGCGTGGTGTTCTGTTACAGCGACGCTAACACAGGGCCCCCCAAACTCTGAGATTCAGCAGGGACGGGCACAGCCCCGAAAGGACCGCAGGTGGCCGACGGGGGAGAAAGGCAGGGTGCTTCTGACCAGGCTGTAAACACTCGGCACCAACTAACAAAACCAACGCTGGCCGGCCGGCCGCGGGGCTCAGGGGCTGAGCGTCGACCAATGAACCAGGAGGTCAGGGTTCGATTCCCGGTCAGGGCACAGACCCGGGTTGTGGGCTCGATCCCCAGTGGGGGGCGTTGCAGGAGGCAGCCGGTCCATGGTTCTCTCTCATGGATGTTCCTATCTCTCTCCCTCTCCCTTCCTCTCTGAAATCAATAAAAATGTCTTTTTAATAAAAAAGAACAAAACCAATGATAAGTCGTTGGCTGAAGAGCACAGAGGCTGCGTGTGCAGGTGTGGGCAGCTGGGGGAGGGGCAGGAGGCGGCAGAGAGGGCCTCCCCTTCATCTCGGCCAGAGTGGATGGTGTGATTCAGGCCCCTTGGGACGTGACCCTGTGGCGCCTCCAAATTAGGGCAAGGGGGTCCCACCGCGAGGGCAGCAGCTGCTCTCTGAGGGAGGAGCCTTCCCCGATTCACCACGAAAACAGACCCCAACTGTGCGAGTTGCGAGTGGACAGAACGTTGCCCGAGCTTAACACCCTTCGTGCATGTGTGCTGGGCGCTCAGTGTGTGCTTTGCATGTCTGACGACAGGGCGTTTCATTTAGCACAGCAGACAGAATTCAAAGTTTCACGTCGACATTTCATGCAGTTTTCCACAGAAATGACTATGGCTGCCAGGATTCTGCTTTTTGTGGCAACGTCGACCCCGAGGCGGACGCTGAGCGTGAGACCGGACGTGAGAAGGAGTCTGACTCTTCCCGAGACAGCCAGGAAGGGGGAGTCGCGGGAGCCCGGACCCACGCGTCAGATGGCAGGGAAGGTGGCATCGGCGCCATGGCTGCAGCAGCGCCGGACACGCAGCCCGAGGCCCTCCGTGGGACGGCTGTGTGCTCCGGGGCACCCCCACCCCCACC